ATATCTAAGGTAGCTTATAAATAAGAATTAATTGCTAGTCTATGTTATTATATCATTTTTACAAAGTAGAAATCGAAGAAAGTAAAACAAAAGTAACGTCAAATTTTAATGATATTGCAGAAAAGAAAAAATGGAATTGATTTTTTGTTAATTATCGGGAACTTAAGTTTATCTGAAGTAAGTATGCTATTCTAAATCATAAGTCTCTTCAATGCAGTTCACACTAGTTTTTACTGTCACTCAATTTTTACTGTCGTTTGCTTTCCTCTTCTTTTCTTTAAACTTTACTTACTCGTTGTGTTCTAATTCATCATATTTATAAATTTCTTTATAATTTGTCATTTAGGTATTTCAGACTATATTCAAATATTTGCATAGATATAGATGTAAAAATTTTTTATACACATATTTTAAATAAGGCGTAAATTTTTTATTTTTTTTAATAATCATATATTGTAAAATTATTAGTTTACAATACAGAAAGATTATTTTATTAAATATTATTGAAATAAGAATATATAAGAAAATAATAATAAATTAAGTTTTTAATATTATTATGTATACTTTATTATTATTTTATATTTAAATTATGTTTTATAATGAAATTTGTTTCACTCTATTTAGATAGGAAATTCAATAATAAATTATTTGTTTTAAATTTAAGTTTCAAATATAATGAAATAATGAATAAAACAATTGATATGATTTTTATTTTGTTAAACTTATTTATTATAATTAATTACATTATTTACAATATACAAAGTATAAATAAATTTATTTCAAGTATCAAGTCTCGATAATAAAAAATAATTCACTACAATATAATTATGACAGAAAATGAATAATATGAAATTATAAAGAAGTATAATGATATTATAGTCAATAAATGAAACAAACTTTATGAAATGGATAAGTTAATGTATAAATTGTTATTTATTTAATAAATGCGTTATTTATGAAAATTTATAGATATACATGGGACAGTAAAAACAAATTAGAATACAATGTTTATTATAGTTTTGCGATGTAAAATTCATTATACCTTTATAGTAATTAGCGCAGAAAAATATTTACTTCTGATTATTTTTGTAAAACTGTAGTAAACAAGCCTTTTTATTTTGGTGTAAATTAGCACAAAGATGAGCTTCATTATAAGATAAATTTTAATGCAACTCTTCACGTTCATAGAAATCTCCAATAATGTTGATTGAACAAGAAAAATGCAAGCTGATCAGAAACTCTTGATTTACACAAGAAATAGCGTTTTCACTAATAATAGGAGGAAGTAAATGAAAATCGTGCTGAGTACGCATAAGAATTTGTAAGAGCGTTATAACATTATCGGTTTGAGTAGCACTACGCAGTCTTGTTCTGAAAGTGCAGTTCGTAGCCGCGCAGGGACAAAATGGTCGTATCTATTATAAAATCTTATGAAATCCAAGGGATGGGGCAATATACGCGGGTAAGAAGAGAAAGGTTTTCTGAAGGCGCTGCACATGATCCTCTCGACGGCTATGGATGGCAGTGCAATTAAAGAAGTAACAGCGCCGATGGTCGAAAGTGCCGAAAATTTTATTGGCACTGTGGGACAAAATTGCACGCGCTGTATATTACACGAGAACAGAGAAGTCATGGACTTGCTAGAACGCACTGACCCTCTATCTTTCGGTTCTATCTCAAGCAAGGTGCTGGGTGAGACAGAGCTGGAAAGGGCCCGAAGACAAACAATAAAAATGAGTGTACGGCTTGACGTATAGAAGTCGTAGGACTCGGTAGTTTCGTAGCCCAAAATAGAGGCCACGACTCATAAAGGCCTAGTCTAGAAACTTTTACAGCAACCGTAATTGTCGGTATCTTCTTGTACACGTTTTTACTTATCCAGATCTTTCTCTCGCGGTTTTCGCTATGTAATAACTGCAATGCCTTACTACTACATACGTATGCACTTGTGTGCATTAAAGAGTGATAGGGATGCAGAAGTAAAGAAAATAGTAACAAGCTTTAGTTGTATATTGCAACTGTTTGTAGAAACAACTGGTGAAAGATAATTTTTATTTCACTTCTCTGTTAGTTCAGAATTAGAAGTATGAAATAAAAAACACAGAAAATAGAATCTCCAAATATTTTCTCTATAATGACAAGTTATACAGAACTGCTTTTAGAAGCTAGATTACTTCACAAAAATTAAAAAGAAATTTTTTTCTATAAAATTTTTATTTTTTCTTTATATTTGTTATATTTGTAATAATATTTTGAATAAAATTAATGAAACTTGTAATTATATAAAACAAAATATTTTTAACTGTATAGAAACATGTTATCTATCAATCCATGATATTATTCATTGTTGAAAAGCATTATACAAAATAATATTTTTTATAATATATTCTTTCATATTATAAAATATGTAATATATTTTGTGCATTCTATTTTTATTAAAAAAATTTATTTGTACTTAAATTAACTTACTTATACATTACCTAAATGAAATAGTATTGTTTTCAAAATTGGATAATATAACAGAATTAACTAATAAAAAAATTTACAACGAAAATATAATAACTTCTAAATAATAATAAAAGAATTTAGATGATTTTAATACAACATAAAGCATTTAAAAAAAATAAATAAGTGTTATTTTAACTAGCTATAAAGGGGTATGTTTTTATATAAAGTATTATTATATAATTTATATAAAGTATATGTTTTCATAAATTAAATATTATATTATTTTATATAGAGTAGTGAAATATTTAACTGTCGAACTTCAATAGTTGTATAAAAACAATATAAATATTTTAACAGAGTTCTAAAACATATCAAACTATCTAATGTTCATTACAACATTAAAAAAGCCTGAATGAAATTTATACAAACCTAATCAAAACAAGTGTAAGCTGAATAAAGACAAAAAGAATAGAAAAAAGAGGTAGAGAATAAAACGACACGCTGACCCAGACATACTGCAAAGGGTTGCAAAACACAACCAACAGTTCAGAACGATGAGCAATGAGAGAAGGGTGTAGAAAGTGTACGTATATATATAAATGCAATCGAGCAAATCGATTGTAATTTATCTACGATAGTGCATGCAGGAACAATAAAGATGAGGACAATCGAAAATTATGTATAATCATTGTCGATCTGAGAGCTAACACGTACACCTTCTGTAACAAAGAATGAAGACTTCCCCATAATTTCCCTATATTAGTCGATATTATACCTTTTGAACCGACTTGCATTTTATGTCAAAGTTGTCGGTGCAATAAATCGTATAGAGTGTGTTAGATGGAGAAAAGTGTTAAAGTCTTGACTCATGTAACATTTTATGGAATGGAATTTGTTAGTTTGTTGAGTATAAGTTGGCACTTCATGTCTGGTAAGCACGTATATCAATGCATAGATATCAATGATTTGCAAGTACCTAGTAGCTCTAAATATTTTCTGTATAAATGTCAAAAACGAAAGCTTAATTCTTTTAGTGTCGCATTAAAATTAACCTAAATGATATCCGTAGTTTCATAAATGAACTGTGTCTAATAAAATCGTATATGTAATTTGCATTCGTATTACGAGTATCTATCTATATATCATACGTATCACAACAATTTTTATACTATCTTTAATTATAATTGTTTTAATCAATTTCATATTGTTTTTAAATAGTTATGGATAAATTAAGAATACATAATTTGTTATACTATTAAATATCCGTTAATAAAAGGATTTAATTTTATACTAATAGTTTATATATAAAACCATATTATAAAAGATAACAAAATACATTCAAATATTATAAAATATGTTGCAATATAAATATAATGACCATTTAATAAAAATATATACTAAAAATATTACAACTACATTTTATTAAAATTTCTTGTAATTCGTTGAAATATAAAGTAAAAATAAATGTATAAAAAAAATATTAATATTATTATTTACGCCACTGTTATTCGTATATTTACATATATTTATGTAATCATATATTTAAATGTATTTGCGTGTATATGAATATAAGTAACATTCTGTGCGAGCACATATTTATATATAATAATTAATGGAAATATACCCACTAAAATATTTTTAACTTATTATTTCAAATCCTTTCTTAATTTTTGGTAATTTTAATATTTCCATTCTATTAATTTTATACACTTCAATTTATTTTATAATTCTATAATATTAACATTGTTTTGCCTACTACATTAAACTGATACTATCACATTAACCTAACCTCGCTCTATTTCTCTCTCTCTCTCTTTCTATATATATATATATATATATATATATATATATATATATACTGTATATATACTGTTATTATATATATACTGTTCTTCCTTTTTCCTTTTTGCCCGTAAGAAATTTCAACATATTCGGCAACACGATTTTAAACAAAAATCCTTCTATTCGTTATTTCACGTATTCTTCTTCTCTCTCCAACTTTTTGACATTCAGTGTTGTACGCCTCAAAAGAGCAACACATTATTTCAGGCGCGTGTCTTCAAGGATAATGCCCTTAAAATTTTCGCCCACTCTCGAAAAAGCAGGTATCATCGCCTAGACAGATACGATGATAATTTAACACGCGCTTTCCAAACGCAGTACTGGTTTTTAGAAAACTTCGCAATACGAGCAAGACAAAGTGAGGGAGGTCGAGAGAAAGATCCGGAGCCCACGACCTCCAACCGAACCCCTATTCATTTTCTTTCTTTCTCTCTCGCGCGCGCTCTCTCTCTCTCTCTCTCTCTCCCTTCGTGACTCGAGAAACGGCGGCGGTGGTGGTTAAACGGGGAACTGCTAGGCTTCGAAGGCGGCTCGCCGCGGAGGCCACAACATGACCGCCAGTTCTCATTGGTTGGTTGGTCGACAGTTGGGCGGGAGCTCGAGGAAAAAGTGTTACTCGGGTGGGGATAAAAATCGTCGGCGAGCCGAACGAACCCTCTTCTAAATAGATGCTCTCGTGTCGACGAAAAACTAGAATCCGTTCAGCCGGCATCGAGTGTACGTCGGTTTGTTTTGTACGATTTTTAAATATTCGCTTACACAATCAAAAATATCTATACTCCATGCGGCAATGCACATATACCTATTAAGTCGCTTAACAAAGTTGTATGTGTACATTAATATTAACAAAACTGTATATATTTCTACTTCGTATACCAGTTATATAAATGTGTCGTGAAAGATAGAGAAGAAGAAAGTACAGTGCGCCAGTACGTGTGTTTAATATTGCACATTTTATATTAAATTTTCCTTTCTTTCTGTTTTTCCATGGAGAGATAATAATTTGACATATATAAATGTACATTAATTTTAATCAGTATATTAATGAATAGTATGTAAGAGAGGTGCAATTTTGTGATTTTGAAATCAAAATGCATCTGCCGGAGGGTCCAATCGGCATGGACAACTTCAATGCTATTCATGAAACGTTGCGCGCCTGTCATGGCGACCTTGTACAAACCGGTAGTCCAGCTATCCTCTGCAGTCCATTACCTTCGCATTGGCGATCTAACAAATCTTTGCCTGTTGCCTTCAAAGTAGTGACGCTTGACGAAGTCAGCGATGGTACCCTTGTTACAATCAGTGCCGGTAACGACGAAAACTTCTGTGGCGAACTTAGAAACTGTACCGCAATTATGAAAAATCAAGTAGCTAAATTTAATGATCTCCGATTCGTCGGTCGCAGCGGCCGAGGTGAGTTTTTTTTACTGACTTTTACCTTTTAGATTTACAAAAATCATGATTCAAGCAAACATTGATGCTAGTTCTCTTCACTTGTAATGATTAAAATGATCCATGATTAAAAATATTTTGCCCCATTTTTTACTTGTCATGCATATTTAAATGTGAAATCAAATTCAATAAATTTTACTATTCAGTAATTTGAGTTAAGATAACAAAAGTTAAATATAGGGTAAAAATAACATGAAAATAGCATGAGTAATGATAAAATGTAGAATAGAGTATATACAATCATGCTTATTTGTTTCGCTTACAGGAAAATCATTTTCATTAACCATACAAATTAGTACGGTGCCTTTCCAAGTAGCAACGTACACAAAAGCTATTAAGGTTACCGTTGATGGACCACGAGAGCCTCGATCCAAGTCGAGTAAGTTTTAATGTAAATAGTCAGGGTATTTTTTATTTTCCTAAAATGTTTGTCAAAGCCAGCTAATCTATGTTGAGTTAAATAAACAAATTTTTTTAATTTGTCGATGAATTCATGATTTTCATTGACAAAGAAAGTAATCTAAATTGAAATTTATAGAAGGCATGAACATCCAAAATGTTCATTTTGGATGCAGAACTAAGTAAAGACGGAGAAAAGCGAGCAATCGGGTAACAATACTTCAGAAAACGCGCAAAGTGAGTAGTATTTGCGGTCGCGCAGGATAATCCAGTTTAAGGGTGGGGGTCGGAGCTACGGCTTCACGTACTTTTAACCACCAGCCGCGGAATAGTTTGAGCCTGCGTTGGAGTTGGCGACGCTTATTTTCTCAAATGTTATACACATTTATATATCTGAATGGTTTCAAAATAAAGAAACGCCGATTCAATTTTTGTTTAGACTACGGTTCCTTATGAGTCAGTAGTGTGACTCAAGCAAACGCTCTTATATCATCGAAATAAATTATTTAGCTTTCTCAAAAAAGTATCCCCATTTAATCATGTTTCTATATGCTAAATTTTATTGTTATTAAGCTACTTGAATCTTGTATTGCCGATAGTATAACTATCATTAGGAAATTCTGCTAAACTTAGATAATAACTGCATAGTGAGCGTCAGAAACGCTCTCTTTGTAGTTCGATTCCAACATCAAAAGGATGAAATTGCGTACATGGATAAATTATAAATATGTCTGTAATTACTTATTAACTCGGCGTTTCATAAACAATTTTTTTTGGATTTCGAATAAGTTTATTGTTAATTTGTAAAAACTCTTTTTAAATAATCGTACTACTTAAGATATTATTTTAGCTTTATTAATAAATATATCCAAATTATAAAAAAGTTTGTGCGAGTTTTTAATGTCTATACCTATGTCTGCAGAAAAACCAAATCTGTAATCTAAATCTGTAATATAAATCTATTTAGTTTTTCAATCCAAACTTCTCTCTTTTATGAACAATAATAAAAATATATCGATGTTAAATGAATCTTTATAAAAACAGTATTTTTTTAAATTGTGTAGATTATCAATATGGCTCTGGGTTTCCTGCATTGGGACTTTTCAATCCATGGTTGGATGCAGCCTACCTAGGACATGCTTGGCATCTCTCACATCCTGCACTCATTAAAGGTAAAAAAACATTACATCTCTTTAATATAAATATTATATATCTTATATTAATACTATATTTCTCTTGTTTTCAAAACGTATATATTCTCATGAACTTGCATTTGTATAATATAAATTTTTTATATAATAAGAAAAAATTATGTTAAGCATTCGGTTTGTCTTGATTTTTATAATAATTTACAAACAGTATAACATATTTATTGTTATTAAAAATAAAACAAACTGCATATACCTTTATTTGCAACATTTTAAAGGATTATTTTTGTATGCTTTGGCATTTATGCATTTTTTAATAACTATTTTTTAGTTTATAATAAATTGAATTAACTTATTTGTTAGTCAATTTCTATTCTCAAAAAGTATAACGTAGAAAATAGATAAATTATATTAATATACAAAGTCATAAAAAAGAAGAGCAAGAATTTCTATTGCTCTTTTTCATACACGTGCCTTATATCGATTCATACATACTCTATTCAATATTCTCTCTACCCTGTCTATCTATATCCCTCTTCGACATCTCCGATGATTCATGTAGTCGGGGTTCGTTTTGGACCCTCAAGCCGATTTCTATTTATTTCTATCTATTCTCACAGTCGGTTCGCTATCCACGTGATATTCACCCCTATATACGTAAACGAATACGTACTAACACATGTAATAACTGCATCGAATATAACAATGCAACTTAATACTCCTCTTTTTACTTTTTAATAATATTATATATATATATATATATATATAGTATGGTTATTATTTACCGCGCATATTATCATTTTAAAAAATTGTTTTTCCATTGTATAATTAGAATTCAAAATTCTTTGATTGACTCCTATTGTCTGCATTTGATCTATCCATTCCTAATTTTTCTTTTAATTATATTCATTCAATACACTCAAATAAATAAAAAAAAATATTTATAATCTTAAAATACATTAAATTAAAATTTTCTCAATATATTTATTATTAAAATTCCAATTTTGGAAATGGGAAAAATGGAGATTGAAGTTTTCAAGTTCAATTAAAAAAATTATTTACTGTATTTTTATGTTATTTTCATTATTTAAAATTTTATGCTTCATGAAACTTTATGGTACAACTATTAAAGCAAGATATAAACTAGTTCATAAATTTTAAAGTATATGGATTTAAAAAAATGTATCTTATATTTCAGGATCAATGGGGATACCACATTCGGATCTGTTCGTTCCTAGTTTTCCGCCTACGGTCATTCCCTCGACGTACTCTTTC